AAAAGTATTGGCCCCTCCCCCTCCATATCATGTGATTCGGGTCCTCCGATCCCTCCCATGGCCCCCGGTGTATAGGATGAGGCCCCTCCCCCTCCAGGTGTGCCTCCAATCCCCTCCATGGCCCCCGGTGTAAAGGATGAGGCCCCTCCCCCAATCCCCTCCGTGGCCCCCGGTGTATAGGACGAGGCACCTCGGCATGCAGACGCTTCTACAGACATCGGTGAGAGAACGGGTCGCTCTCAGGAGCTCAAATGGTAATATATTGTATGTACTGATAGAATTACAGAGGCCACACACATATGTTGTCACTCACTAGAAATCCGATGTAATGAGGTGCAGCGTGTCGTGTTGTCTCTCGGGGATTATTGAACACGTCAACATACATGACTGAGCCTTTAGTGGGGGGGAACATATATGTAGATCAGAGCATGGCACACACTGCACAGCCAAAGACCCGCCTCCTTCATATCTCATAGACCTCTGCACCCATCATACCCCTATACCCGGGACATCTGTACCCTCTGCACCCATCTTACCCCTATACCCGGGACATCGGTACCCTCTGCACCCATCATACCCCTATACCCGGGGACATCGGTACCCTCTGCACCCATCATACCCCTATACCCGGGGACATCTGTACCCTCTGCACCCATCATACCCCTATACCCGGGGACATCGGTACCCTCTGCACCCATCATACCCGGGGACATCTGTACCCTCTGCACCCATCTTACCCCTATACCCGCGACATCCGTACCCTCTGCACCCATCATACCCGGGACATCCGTACCCTCTGCACCCATCATACCCCTATACCCGGGACATCAGTACCCTCTGCACCCATCATACCCCTATACCCGGGACATCTGTACCCTCTGCACCCATCATACCCCTATACCCGGGACATCAGTACCCTCTGCACCCATCATACCCCTATACCCGGGACATCTGTACCCAACATATGACAATCATGACACACATATTATAAACATAAGAGTTTAATGTAGTATGTAAAAACACATACAAGCTTCAAGTTGTGTGCACACGGGTCACATGTCAGGAATGTCAGGAACACGTTAGGATGGCTCCGCCCACTCTCACACCTGATGCGCGATCTCCTGTATCTTCTGTAACATTTCCTCCGACTCCAACTGTTCCAATGTCAGCAGAGAAAGTCCCAACTGGTCCTCCTACCGAGAAATGTATCCAGGTCAGAGGTCACCGCGCAACCCCTCCCCCACCATACAGACAGGGGCCCCGACCCCTCCCCCACTCATACACACGGGGCCCCTTCCCTCCCTCATACACACGGGGCCCATTCCCTCCCGTCTCCTCCTCATACACACGGGGCCCATTCCCTCCCGTCTCCTCCTCATACACACGGGGCCCATTCCCTCCCGTCTCCTCCTCATACACACGGGGCCCATTCCCTCCCGTCTCCTCCTCATACACACGGGGCCCATTCCCTCCCGTCTCCTCCTCATACACACGGGGCCCATTCCCTCCCGTCTCCTCCTCATACACACGGGGCCCATTCCCTCCCGTCTCCTCCTCATACACACGGGGCCCATTCCCTCCCGTCTCCTCCTCATACACACGGGGCCCATTCCCTCCCGTCTCCTCCTCATACACACGGGGCCCATTCCCTCCCGTCTCCTCCTCATACACACGGGGCCCATTCCCTCCCGTCTCCTCCTCATACACACGGGGCCCATTCCCTCCCGTCTCCTCCTCATACACACGGGGCCCATTCCCTCCCGTCTCCTCCTCATACACACGGGGCCCATTCCCTCCCGTCTCCTCCTCATACACACGGGGCCCCTTCCCTCCCGTCTCCTCCTCATACACACGGGGCCCATTCCCTCCCGTCTCCTCCTCATACACACGGGGCCCATTCCCTCCCGTCTCCTCCTCATACACACGGGGCCCATTCCCTCCCGTCTCCTCCTCATACACACGGGGCCCATTCCCTCCCGTCTCCTCCTCATACACACGGGGCCCATTCCCTCCCGTCTCCTCCTCATACACACGGGGCCCATTCCCTCCCGTCTCCTCCTCATACACACGGGGCCCATTCCCTCCCGTCTCCTCATCATACACATTTATTGCACGCTCTCCCCGGGCCCCGGCTCCTGAGGGGCCACTCACCCTGCGGAAGGGCTGGGCCATCTGTCGCAGGAAGTGTTTGGATAGGTGAACGCACTCGTCCACCGTCAGGTTCAGATTGGCGTCTGTCAGATGTTCCTGGATCCACAGCGGCAACTTCCCCCTCTTATCAGACCGGGCGTACCTCTGCGCGAGAGAACCGGGAGGTGGGCGGGTGCAGGATGAGGGCGGGATGAGGGCGGAAGGTGGGCAGGAAGAGGGAGGA